CTCTGTGGATCACATCCTTAAAGATCTGCCAGCTCTGTTCTGTTCCCCTGTCCCTGAGGACCGTTTCCCAGGGAGTCCTCCTGCCTATCTCCTGGAGGAGCTGGAATTTTGCTTTTCTAAAATTCAGAGTCCTGACTGTACTCTTTGTTCTTCCCATTTCCCTCAGGAGCGTGAGCTCTACCAGCGCATGATCACTGCAGCCCAGGCTGCCTCCGATCTTGACATCTCCGACGAGCTCACTTGCATTGGTGACCACCAGGTCCAGTATCTCGTCCCCTCGGGTAGGGGTTGGCTTAAGAAGTTGTCCTCAATGCATTTGAGAAACCTGCTGCATTGCCTACAGCTTGCCGTGTTGGTTTTCCAGCAGATGTCGGGGTGGTTGAAGTCCCCCAGGAGGACGAGAGCCTGTGAGCACGAAGCCTCCCGGAGTTGGAGGAAGAACGCTTCGTCAGTCGGCTCCTGTTGATCTGGCAGCCTGTAGTAGACACCAACCACCAGATTCCCTTTGTTGCCTCTCTCTCTGATTCTTACCCATAAGCTTTCGACCTGCTCGTGGCTATTCTGATTAGTGTTGTGTCTTCCTGATTTAGTCTGCAAAGTATATACTGGTATTGCTCACCAAGCTGGTGGGGATAACTATGACTCTGTTTTTCCCACTGATCTTTTGGAGCTGCTAATATCATGGTGGTCGTTTATGCATCGATTGGATGAAATTCACTTCAGTGCAGACTGCTTATGTACATACTTAAATTCAGAAAACAGGTTTTGTACAACTATAAAAGAGTCTTCAAAATTTGGATTTCATGCATGGTCTGCATATGCTTACTTAAAAAATTACTAGTTACAGTCACTTAAACTATCACTAATTTCACTCAACTTGATTAATCTTCTGTAAAACAATGGACGTTGTTTTTATTTCTCTGAGTCCGCTGACAATCTTGATTCTAATTATTTCAGTGCTGATTTTAAACCATTACTCGGGACTTCTTTAGAATAACAGTAAGATTCATTAAACTTATGTTAAACATGTCCTTTCACTAACTTACAGTGCTCCTCAGTAAAAGTCGGCATTTATCCAGCCTTACCATGCTTGAGTATCATGTCAAGTACTGCTATTTCCTACTGTGGGTACAGGGAAATAACATTGATGTTCAATGCCAATTTTGGTAAATTCTGACTGTAGTCCTGAAATGGAGGAGTGAGTAGACCTTAATGAATGACATGACTGGGTTTGCACAGATAAATGCTTTGCTTGAGATCACTTTAGCTGATTTATTTTGAAGCGAAAGGGTGGTCTGTGAAAGAAATTTTATTGCTCCATCAAGTCTATTTTATCCCTTTGGGAAATAAGCTGAAATGTAGATAGGTACTGTGGATTTTACTCCCACACCTATTAACTTCATATTTGAAACCCTTACAAATCAAAAGAAAAATCCTGTCTTTAGATTAGACAATGAGTCAATTAATTTTTGCCTGTTAAGAGCAGAATACAACCTGGAGGAACTTAGAGTGAGAGAATTCTGGGACACACAACTGCGAGCACCAATAATCATATCAAGACCCTAGATGAATGAATATGGAGTGCCACTCGATACTTTATGGTCTTTCCTTACTTTTTTTTTTTTGCTTTTTTTTCCCCTCCAAATGGGTGTTGGTTTTAAAGGAATGCAAAATACTGTGTTTTTCCTTTTCCCAAGAATGTTAGAAAAAATCGTAAGAAATTAGATTAATAATGAACATAATATTTTTAGCGCTCACTTACCCCACTCATAATGTGGGAATACATGAGTATGAATACTAAGACAGTTTGAGAATCAGTTTTCCCTGGGAATAAGGGGAAACTGAGTTGATGTAATGTAACTTGCTGTACATTTATTGAGAAGTGAATACCTGGCACTTAAAATTGAAAGCTGCTACTATGAGGTCACTAGCTAAAGTAGTGACAGGATTGCAGAAGACAATTTTAAACAATAGAAATCTATAAGAATTGATGAAGGGGTAGAAGTTACAAACCTGTTCTCATGTATTGTTTGCCTCATGCTTTCTGATACTGCCCACTGAATAATGAAAATGCTTGTTGACTCATTTGCTGAATTTTTAGAATGAAGCAAGTGTAATGGTACTGTTTGGAAGGCTGAAAAAATACTGTACTTCAGCATGCTTTTGAAAAATTCTAATATCATCAAGGCTTAATAGAGCCACTTTTCTATGGAAAAGGGTCATGTGGCACTTCTCTTGCAGGTGGATTTAGCAAAGCAGTCTGCCACTCTGTGTTGGATTGAAAAACTTTGTAAATCTGGGGACTTACACATTTGGTTAGATCAGAGTTTGTTTGCAACCCAGGAAGGCCTGCAGTTACCTAGCTAAAATCCACAGGCAATTTTAGTTATTAATTTTTCGAATAACTATGCTTATAGTGTCTGTACCCTGTACAGAGGTATAATGTTTCTGTCTAATAAAGGAAAAAACTATAAAAATCTCTCGATTGCTGGCTTATGGCTTTACAAAGAACTTTAATGCTCCAGTAGTGCAATATAGTAGTATATTTGCTTAGCTTCCTGTGTATTTTATTAGTGGAATAATTCTCTCTTTAAACTAGTCAGTTACGCATTTTATGACATGTAAAGCATAACAGCTTTTAACTATGTTTTATCAGACTCGCCTAGAGAAAGTGTCATCAAACTGGCTTTCTGCACTTCCCAGATGTAGTAGAAAAACCTGATTTTGTCATGAATTGTGTTTATAACTTTTCCCTCTTTGCAAAGCTCCCAGAATGGAGAGAGAAAACAAAAGTAATTATTAAAACCCACGTTATTATTGGCTAGCTGTTATTGTTCTTGGGTTTTGTTGGCTTTGCTTGTCTTCTGGGGTACCTGTGCTCAGCAAACTTCAGGGGCTGACTGTATGAAGTAGTCCGCATACTGGTGATAAGAGATTCCTTCCACCAGAGAACTTATGTTCAAAGGCAGTGCGGTTACCACTGCTGCTGCTGAACATAGTGTGGAATTTGAAACAATTCCAAAGAAGCTTTGAAATCACTGTAATAATATCCATGGAAAACAGAGAGGAGCTGGGAAACAGGAAAGTTTTAGTGAGTATAGAAGAACAGCATGTTATACCATTACCTGGCCTATGTACCCGCTGTCCTCCTTTAGTTCCTGAAAACATGTTGCTACAATTCTGTGCTATTTCATTTTTCCAACCTGGCAAACTCTCTTAGTAATATCCAAACCAGTTCCCTTTCCTTATAGCCACCTCATGGTCTTTTGTTAGAAGGATCATCTGTGCTTATCTAATTGAAAGGAAGACCTTTGGCATCCATTTATATGCAGTGTTGAAGACAGGATGTTGAGCAAGGAAGCCCTTGGATCATTATGGCCATTTTTATGCTACATAACAGACTAAAATTTGTATTCCTCCTATTGCTGGTTATCCTACATGCATCTCTCCTACTGGCATGGAAGCCTATTTTTTAAAGTGTAGTGCAGCTTTCAGTTCTTCATGGAGAAAACAGGTATATTAAGAAGGATTTACTCCATTTCCTTGTGTTGCCATCCTAAGCTGCAGTTTTTGGACCTTGGGAAGGCAACGCCAAGGCTCATATGGCAGGATTTCACACAGGAAACTGTACCTTTCAAGGTGCTGTTGAAACCTAATTAACAAAGATGAAGAAAAGATGCCTTTATTCTCTGATACCTGCATCTCCTCAGGTTCATGCTTAAGGCCATATCCTCTTGAGGATGTGCAAATGAAATGCTTTAAGCTAACATTTTATGTCAAATTTACGTTTTAATAAAGGAAGATATGTTTCAGGGGCTATTTCAAAGGTAAATTAGTATGGACATGGGAAAGTTTTCTGTATGTGCAATAATTCTTCAAGCTGCCTGGTTGCACGTGTTGCTGGGCTCTTTCAGCCAGCTGGTGGGTTCACAGGCAGAGTCTGTCGCATGCATGCATCACGTGGATTCCCAGTGCACTTGCAAATACTGTGATCCCTAGAGAGGCATGGTCCTTTTTGGGCTGAAATGCTCAGTCATTGTGATGAGATGTTCTGCTTAGGAATTCAGGGCACAATGTAGACCTAGCTGTGGATCGTGCCATTCCACCTTTTTTTTTTTCATAAGTAATGGATGTGATATGTTTCACAATGATATGTTTCGTCTCATGTTGTTGCTCTCAGATTGCACGTGTGAGAACACAGCATCTCAAAAATGATTTACAAACACGGATGCAGTGTCTGATGGCACTTTATTTGTGAAGGAAAAGGCATATGTTTGCCTTGTGGTGTGTGCCTGTAGATCAAAATCCAAAGGAAAGTGTACTGACTACATCAGTGATAGGCATTACTTACCAAAAAAAAAAAAAAAAAAAAAACCAAAAACCAATACAGAATGCTATGTGGAGATAACATACAATTTATTGATTCTCTCTGTATGGTTTATGGCTACAATGGACTTTATGAAAACCCTAAGCCAGTCTATTCTATCTTTGTAAATAATTGACTGAGAACACTGTTCTAAATTGGATAAGTGGAATGAGATACCTGCAAGGAGAAGACTGTACAAATGATTATATGTATACGGTACATTTAAGCCCTTTTTGGCAAAGTTCAAATAAACTTCTTCATAATGTCTGAAAATCAGAGATCTAATTTTGGTTTTAAATCTGTCGTCACAACTCTGCTTAGCTCTGCAGTAATTTGCATTTCAAGTGTACCGGAATCTCTGAGCACCTCCTTTATGTGTTGTATAATTACTGTTAATACCTGATTTCACAGTTATTTATAGCCTTGATGTATTACTTGACTGTTGCTAATATCTCATTTACTATTCTGACCACCTTGAACAGCCTTCTACATAATACTTCCTGGAGCGTCTAGTCTTTTATCCTCTGCCTGTATCTTCTAATTTCTCTCTGGATGTAATGCAGGCTCATATCTTTGCTTCAGACAGTATTTTTAATTTTGTATTGCGGGGTTCAATATGGATGTCAGGGAGTGTAGTAAGGCTAGTGCACAGGCCTTTATTATGGGGACCTTTATTATCCTAAAGAAGGGACTCTGAGAGGCCAGGGTTCACACAGCTCCTGGTTCTAACTAGGTACAGGGCCACTTATGTTCTGCCTAAGTTCTGGTTGCCACCAAAGGAGAACTCCATCCTCTTGCCAGCAGCACTTATTTCCACCTGGCCTTTTGTACTGGTGCTTAGATTATGTGTCTGTTTAACAAGCCAAATCAAGGATTGATCCAGCTACAAACTATCTTGTATTTCTTCTGGTTTGTTTTTTGGGTCAGTTCCCTAATCTGCTTTACAATGCATCTGTAAGATGCAAGTGTCTGCACAACAAGGTGGAGGAACAAATGACTGAGGTCAGGAGGGAGGGTAGAAAGTACCACCTCTTTTGGCAGATGTCCTGGTTAATGCTACGGGTTTGAAGGTCCTGGGTTGCACACTTGCTGAGAACTGGCAAGTGGGAATTGCTACCTTGCACAGGAGCAAGAGTCTGCCAAAAAGGTGATTGGCAACATCACTCATCTTTAAATGGCAGCAGCTTCTGGCTCCCTATTCATTTCCTGTTGACAAGCTCTGTCTTTGATACAGGAGACGTATGTGAAGTCTGGGAACCCAGCCTTAGAAAGTTGTTCATCCCTGCTGCAGAGCACCCAGTGGTACAGGTTGCATGTAGGACTCTGCAATGTAAACTGGCATAACTAAATGCCTTATAGAAGATAAGCATAATTACCCAACCCCCTAGGTAGAAGCACCCATAACGTTTGCCAAACAGAAATTCAGATAATTGGAAGATCTGGCTTAGCACATTCTGAAATTGGCGTGTCGGATCTAAAAATCTCTGATTCAGTCTTTCTAGCTCAGTGAGTTGGATTTCCAGTTGGGAGCTTCATTCAGCAGGGCTTAGGTTTTAAACCAGATATATAAAAAACACCAAAGCCTTTGCCTCAGGGTCTGCCATGGGAGTTACATTCCTGGATAAATCAGAATACCATCTGTACTGCCAACTGCGACGTGAGAGATTTAAGCGAGGCTTTCTAAGCAACCAAAGGCACCTAACAAAAATAGGTAATAACTCTCTCCGGGCTACTTTATTTTTCCTAGACTGTCCTAGGCCTCTGAAGTGTCTATTTCAGGTGATGACTCAAAGTTACCCAGGTCTAACTTACCTGAAACCCTAGGCAGGCAGGCAGGCAGGCGGATAGTGTTACATGATGGGCCGTAGGTGATGTCTGAAGTGGATAATACATCCTAATCTGTTTATTAAAAATGGAGGCAAATAGTTTTGACAAGACTAGAGAGGGTTGTTGGTGGTGAAACGAAAGGACTGTGGTGAATGGGTGGTGAATGGAACGTAAATTAAGTTTATACTGTTGAATTATGGTGATGATTTTGGCAAAGTTGATCATGGGAGACACTGTGGAAGCTCAGTTATTGGGCAGTGGCAGTTTATGTTCTGTCAAAATTCACTCACTTTTGTGATACTTACATTAGTTGTCAGGCAAAAACTCAACCATAGTTAAGGGTAAATACCCATCAGGAACTGAAGGGAGAAAGCTTTCCAGAAACGCTGTAATTAAGTGCAAACTAGATACTTTTAATTTTAGAATGTTTACGTAAATCTATACATGTTAATGGACAGAAATGCACGTCTAAATACCCTGAAGTTTGCCCTGGAGTGATGTTGTAATTACCTGGTTATGAGTTGCTCATGTTAATTTTTGCAGATGATTTATCTGGTTTATCTGGTTTTAAAAGACATGATATTTTCCTTCTTTTTTTATTTTTACTTTTTTTAACACTCCTATTTTCATAACAGAGCACAGATAGGGTATTTAACATTGCATTCCTATAATTATGAGTGAAGGGGGGAAGCACAGGCAAGAGTAGGCAACAAGAAGCAAGAGCTGAAGGTGAGGTAGCTACTCAGTTAATCTGTGAGGAGGAGATAACGGGCAATAACACGAAGCCAGCGCAGAGATGTGGCCAGAGTGGCAAGCAGAAAGGATACTTTTATCAGCATTGTTTCAAATCATCTGTAACAGTAAGTATTAAAAAAGGAAAAGCAATTACAGCAGCGAACTCTAACTGATTTTTGCAATACCTTTTAATAACGTGCAGTGAAGGAACTACATCTTTACCTAAGCAATTGTGGCATGTTCTGTATGTGTCCTGCTTACCTGCTTGAAGAGAAGCACACATCCAATGACACTTTTTGGTTTATTTTGTAATTGAGGGCACATGCTTAAGAATTTGCAAGTCAGACCTAGCATAGGGACTTTCAATGTAAGTATTTCAGTTAGTGGAGCATGGGCTAGGCACGAAACCCCTCCATTGTAAATGTATTTGAGCGTCTGTTTTGTCTGAAAAGTAATCAAAGATACAGGTTATATGAGCTTTCAATATTAATTGTTATTTACTTCTGAAAGATTCAGCTGGTTTGCTTTGTGATTGCTTTTCTAAATGAAATGATGCATGGTAATCAATTTCCTGTGTGCAATTTTAAATGTCAGGGACATTTTTGTTACTTAACTAGCACACTCATGCAGTAAGGGATGATGTAGACTTTTTGAAGTAAGGCTATTCTAAGGATTAATTTCTAAGAGATTTCAGGTTCAGCATATCTAAGTATAGTATATGCTTTCCTATCATTTGCTTTTTTTCATTTAAAATTGAGCTGCATTTCTGGCAATAGCTAGGATGCAGGAATTGAGGTATACTTTTGGTATTTTATTTCATTCCATCACTCTTTTTCTGATGATTCTTTTAAATGCGATAAATACACAAACTATTGACTGTGATCACTTTTGAGTATTGACACTGTGTTTGAAAATTCTTGGGCAATAGTAAATGTTTCTTTATTATCAAAATACATATTTGAGTGTATAATTCAATTAAAAAGTCATAATCATAAAATGTTTAAAGAAGCAAACTACTCCATGTGCTAATTTGAAAAAAAGAACTTTTAAAATGGAACTCCATGTAGCTTTTGTAGATACTTAGGCCTCTCTTCACTGTTGGTTGAGTTTATTTAAAGAGCTTTTCTAGTCACCTTTGAACCCAAATGATTTCTCCAGATGTACAGAAGTGAACAATGTAAAAATCTTGCTGCTTCAGCAGAACAGGATCCAGCTGGCAGGGAACTGGATCTGCAAGTCATTGGTTACAGCTGTGTTTCGATTTATGTGATGGTTGAAAAAATAAATTACTGGATTAAATGGCTAGAAAGAGGACTCTTTGTTTAGCCCTTGTGTGGGGACTGAAAGTGTTTATGGTGCTGTTTTCTACAGAGCCTTTGCAAAGTAAACTGGACAAGTAGACTTATTCAAAACTTCTCTGAAATGTTGCACATTCAGCTTTATTTCTTTGCAGAAGAAACTGTATGTTTTTGTGTAATGCTGTCAGCCAGCAACCGTTTTTAAGGTCTCTTGGCCTTTGAGAGTGGCGGTAGCATTTTAGCAATGTCTTTTAGGCATTGCAGTTTATCACTGGAAGGCAGTTTCCTTTAGTTAAAGGTCTTAAAATGCATTTCTTGGCATGCACGCAAATACATGTAGGGACTCTGTCAAACTCGTAACTTTTTAATGGGTTTAATATTTCAGCTCTGTATACCACTTACCTTTTGCTCTACATAATAATGCTGATATAATTGTAAATCAGGCGCACAGTAATTTACAGAGCAGGCACAATGAAATCATAAACTAATGCCAAGTGTTTGGATTATCATATAGCTTATTTTAATGTTCTAATGATGTAGGTGAATAATTTCTTCAAGATGGTGATTATGTCTTATTACCTGATATCCTGATTCTGCAAAGATTTACGTGCTTAATTTTACTGAACAGTTCCATTGTCTTTGCTAGGGCGGCATGGTTCATAGAGCTCATCACAGCTTCGTCAGCTATTTTGCTAAGAAATGTGTTAGTTTTTTTAAAATTCTTTATAAAAGTATGGTCCTGTAAATTCCCATGAGCTGCTTTTTCTGCTGAAGGTAGCTTGGGTTGAAAGAGTTGAGATGTAACTTCTCGCAGAGAAGTCCTGACTCCGCTGAAGTCACTGGGCATTTTGCCACTGACTTCTCTTAGGCTACAATTAGGCTACCTTTAGAACTGCATTTCAATGCTTTTACTTATAACAAATATCACAAGACCCACAAGTGATTTCTCTTTAGCAGTACAACTGCTTGTGAAGTGATAGGCTACCAAATGTGAACACAAGATTTGATATTAGACCAACAGGAGTTTTAAAGGCTTTTTTGCAGATGCTACAGAAAGATAAATAATAGAGTATAACTTTCAGTCACAACAGACAGTGAGCATATAGTGCATTTTTTAAAGCTTTAGCTGGCTTTCAGTGTAATAGTTTGTAAAGCCAGGAGCTTTTCAGCACTTATATCTGTTTATTCAGCAATATTTCCTAGCAATTATTTTAGGCTGACCATTTAGTTTCATTTTACAGTCATAAAGTAGTCAGTAGCTGTAGCCAGGTATCAGTTACATTCTATTTATTAAAATATTTCTAAAATAGTGTATAAACATGGAAAATTATGGTTGTGATTAGATCATCATTGTTGTCCTATCAAGATCTAATTACTTTTCTAAAAACAGTTTGCACAAATCATTCTCAAAGGATCGCCTTTATAAAATCCTACAAAACGCTGACCAAGGAGAGCTAAATACCCGAGCAGTTCTTTTTCAAGGCAAAAATGAAATCAAACAAGTTGGCCAAGTTCCACCATAAGCCACCTTCAGAAATACCAGAGAGAGGCTTAAAGTATTTTAAATATATATATATTTCCCCTCCCCCCCCCTTTTTTTGTTGTCCCTGAGCAGCATTATTACATTAAGAGCCATGCGACAGAAAGTCGTAGTGATGCAGAATAAATAACCATAATGTATCAAAAGCAGACAAAGGTGTGATTGATCTGTCTGGAATTGGCAGACTCTTTCGCTGTGTCAGGCTGTTTCTTTGATCAATGAAGGTATAGCCTCTGACCCTTAAAAAAAATCAATGAGATTGATTGAAAGGAGAGAGAGAACTACGAGAATGCAGGATAGCTTTAACCTTCACTGTCTAGAAAATTTAAAATATTCTGGTTTTGCAGGCATTGAACCTGCTATTTTGTATTTTCTTATTAAAATGCTTGGCTTTTCCCCAGCCTACCTTTGAAACCTCTTAAAACAAGGCTGTAGAAATGGTGTGTCTGAATGTTTCCCACAAATGTTTATCTTCAAATCACATTGTTAAGAGAATAGGAGGGGGTTTTTCTATAGCAGAATTATGTACATGCTGTTACCTTTTGCAGCGTGTACAGAATGCCTTTAATTTCCTTTTATAACCTCTGATTCTTATTTGACGTGTACATATCCAGGAATCGGTGCTCAGAAGAACAGTTCAGATCATTTCACAGACACTATCCCTCCACATAAAGTTGTTTGACTTGCCCTCCTTGCAGAATCAGGCCCGCTGGTGATTGCATCAGTAGTGTGAGGCCAGCATGGAGGGGTGCCTTCTGGGAATAAACCACAGGCTCTGGCGATCTGGTTCCATGTAATCTTGTGTTGTTATCAATTTTATATATGTATATTTATATAGATGTATATCTAATTGGTAAGGAAAGAGTAAAAATGTCACACTGGAAAATTTATGAAGTGGGGTTTTTAAAATAGTGCTTGGCACTTTACGTCTTTCATACTGAACAGACTGCAAATGTAAACTTGACTGTTTAATCAAAAACAGTTTTATGAACAGTTGGAATTTCATTTTAGTACCAGGCCTTTTCTTCACATTGTGCTGATGATGTATTAAACAGTAACACAAAGCAATTAGTGAAGTAAGTATAAAAAGTGTTCATAAATAGGAAAGTTAATTCGTTCATTATTTCATGCTTTTGAAGCTCAAGAAAACATAGGTCAAAAAAGAATAAATATCATAGTGTTTAGTTTTCACAAATAATTACTTTTTTAATTGAAAATGTCAGTGAAATCAAGGTCTATTGAATAGTATTCATACACTTTCAAAGTAATTCAGACTGCAATAATTTCTGCTGTCATATGTCTGTGTTTTAATAAAGGGCAGGTAAATTGACAAGTCAGCAAGGAGACAGTATAATAGCATTGCTCGAATAAGAAGGAGCTTGCATTGGGAGAGTAGGCTATTACTGTTTCTCTGTATTTTTATTTGTGTGATTTCCTTTCTGTAATAGACTGTGTAGGCTATATATATTTTTTTAATGCTTCATGATCGGGTGGGAATGTCAGCTAAGTTGCAAAAGGCACTGTTACTAAAAAATAAGGCAAAGTCTGGGTGTAGCATTTCTAAACAAGAAATTAAGAGGGTAGATTTTTGTGATAGTTCTGGCACTAAGTAGTTGTGGGATTTTCTGATGTCTCTATCCCCTTGCTGTTCACCAGTGAGGTGAGAAGGTATCATCGACAATCAAACAAAACTGTGGCATATGCTTAGACACAGGACACTCCAACAGTCTCATTCTTCAAAGTCATTTAAACGCTACATCAAAGGAAGCTAAACCTTTTGCTTTAATGGGTTTCCCTATCATGTGCACTGTGATGAAGAAACTTTTGCTCCTAGAAAAAGAAGGATGAGGGTGTTACCTCCCTGTTGGAGCACACTGAGAATATGAAGATGAGAACTGTAAAATCAGAATAACGTTTGGTATTAGTGCATTTCTCCCTTTGTGTTAGACATGTTCTGATTTTGCTCCAGTTTTATCTAATTCTTGTCATCACATTCTCTTAACATTATTATTTGTTATTCCAGATAATCCTTATCTTTCATACAAAGTTTGTATTAGTATTGCAAATGACCTTACTCTTGCTGTCTCAGAAACAAAAGGCTCAACCTGTATTTCAATGGGTTTTGATATCTGACATCCACGTACAGCCTCACCTCTCCTCCCTCTCTGTCCATAAGTAATAATCCAGGAAATGCTTTTTTTTTTTCCTTTTTTTTTTTTTTTTTTTTTTTTTTTAATTTTTGGGTGGTGTCAGCAATGGCTGCTACTCTCATTCTGTTCTTCATGTACACAAACTGCATCTTTCCAGTGTGGATGTGAATGCTGTCCCCTTGTGGATGATGCTTACAGTCTTAACTGCTGGCTGCAAAACCGAGCGGTACCCTTCATCCAGTTTAAGATGGTGTCTGGTGCATTGCATTCATTTAGCGTTACTAAAGGAGAGAATTAAGGTTCTTTTTGTATCTCACCGCACTGTTAGCTAAAATCTTTCCCAGAAAAGATGCAAAGCTGAGGTCACTTTTTTCCATCTGTGAGGGGTCAGTTACTGCAACAAAGTCGCTCCTGGCTGAGGGATAAGCCTGTTAAAAGGTGTCTATGCTAACAGCTGAATAGTTTTCTAGACAAATTTTTACGTTTCTAGTAATGGAAACAGCTGGGTCATTAAATCCAGCAATCGATCTCCAATTATAACCCATCTTGGATACCGTGGCACCCTGCCCCGGCAGGTTCCCTCCCCGCAGCCAGACCCTCGGCCTCGGCCGCTGCTGTGAAACACCTATTTGCTGCCCCTGTCCCGTACCCACTCCCAGAACCTCTAGGAGCACAAATTCCTCCCCAGAATATCATTGCTGTGGCAGGGGGGCTAATTCTGCTGTTCGGCATCCACAGGGCTGCGGGGACTAAGGCCGTGCATTCAGTCTCTTCAGCTGAAAAGCAGATCTGTGGTTAAAAAAGGTGTGGTTCTGCTTGGAAACAGAGGCAGTGTGCACAGACAGTGATGTAACTGTAAATGTAATGGGGTTTTCTTTCGCTATTAGTATTTGAGTCTACCAGCAGAATAAATGAAATTTAAGACACCAAAATTCTGGATACCTGCTACCTGGACTCTTTCTTTCCTCCTGAGAAACGGAGAGAAGGATATCTGGCAATTGCTGGAGCATTTTTATGAAAAGGTTTTCGATATTTTCAGGACCTGCACAGGAATAAAAAAAAGTTAAATGGATGACATTTAATCTTCATACAGCGAGTAGTAATTACAGGCAAAACTTTATAGTGGCTCTGCTCGTATTCAAACCCGATGGTTCTTTTCTCCTTGCATCGCATGGGGATTTACTGTACTGTGGATGTGAAATGTAAATGATTGGGCAATTCCGTGAAATTCAGACATGCATATGAAAATGTCTTTCCAACTTTTTCACACTTACCCTCCAACTGAAAATGGGTTTTCCTAGTGGTTGATTAACCAGAAATGAGTTGTTCCTAACTAGGTTGAGAGGAGAGGAGTTCTGTAATATTTGATTCGTGAAAGGAATGAATGGCTTCAGTTTAATTCAACTAGTCTTCTATTTTTAATCTCCAAGGAAACAGCTGAGTTGAATGTTAATTAAACAGCAGCCTTTGATCCACCCAGCCACTCCCGGAGGCATAATAATAATATATAAGCGCACATGCAGCAAATATATAATAGGTACATTTAAAGGAGTGCATCTAACCTTGCCATATTCACATCTAGAATGTTTCTTGCTGACCCATTCTTATATTATTTAAATAGGGAAAGGGAAAAAGAGGAGAAAATGCAGAGTTAAACTTTGATGATCTGAAAGGTAGTGCAGCAGAGCAAGTGTGAGTTCCTATTTTGAGGATGTATAAGGGTTAATGATTAGAAGAGTGGAATCAGGAAAGACCTTAAGCCCAGATCTATGACAGTGGTAATTGAGCTGATTGATTACGACATCTTGTTTCAGACGACTATTGATTTAATCTAGTCTGCAGTCCCATCGGCCCCAGAGGTGCTCCCGAGTGAGGCTCAGCACTTGAACCTGGGTACTCTTCCCTACTCACCGTCTGGATATAAATTTCCAGAATCTGCAGCCATTTATAATTTTCCCTCATCGTTATGCTTTTATTTAAAAGCTTCTAATTTCAGCAGGCTAATGTTTTTAACCATTGAGGGGGGCAGACACAGGGAAAATGAGATGGCACAGAGGGAAAAGGGTGGGTTTTTAAAAAAAAAAAAAAAAAAAGGCAAGACAGAGAGCTGGGGCTATGTGGCTAGTATTTGCATCTGTTGTTTCTGATTCGCAGAGCTAGCAAAGGCTGCTTTTGGAGGCAGTCCACAAAGCTGGGCTATCAGTAGGCAGTTTGCTGTACGCGCACGTTCAATTATTAAAATAGTAGACTTTTTTTTTCTGTCTGATAGCCATAGCGAGGTCATGACATTAATTTATCCAGGGTATTGTGGGTAACTATACAGAAAAAAAGCATAAAGGGCACAGATGCTGGAGCAGCAAAAAATGGATGGGTCTGAGCAAAAGGAGATTAAGAGGCAATGACCAATCTAATGTACGTATAGCAGTAAGAAGCCGGCATCCGTCACAGACTATTGATGGCAATAAGTATTTTAAGCCATGCTGTGCATGTGTTAATTTTTTTTTTTTTTTATATCTCAGTAAATGCTAAGATGAATGCTGTAATCCTGTATTTTTTCGGTTTCCCAAATCTGATTTTGGTCTTGTTTTTGTTGTCTCATGCTTGGTGTTCTCCGCTTGCTCTCTGTCTCTGTCTGTGGGTGTGTGTCTGTCTCTGTCTCTCCCTTTCTCTGGGATTACAAACTTAACTGTTTCCTAATTGTCTACTTTCCTTCGTCCTTCACCTAAGAAAGTAATTACCATCACGACGACCGGTCACAAACGCGTACGAACTGGGCTTAGGGCGTGTACCCCGGTGTTCTGGCTTTCTTTCTTTACTTCGGGGCTGCACGGTGTTTTCTTTTGGACCTTTCCTGCGAGCGGATGCCCTTCACGTTTACTGCTGCCGTAAGGTTGCCAAATGGCTACCTGAGCTGGGACTGCGGTGTAGCACTGCATCCTGGGACCTGCCTGCCCGGCTACGCCGAGAGTTTCTACGGCACCAGGCAGCTTTGAGAATTGGCTGGCGAATTGCGTATCACCTGTGTGTGTGTCCCCCCCCCTCCGGTAAATAATTTTTATACCGCGAATCACAGTGGTGTGGTATTGTCTGGAAAAATAATTCCCAAATACTGTTGGCGTAAAAAGGGAAAAGCCGAAAGATTGTCACCACCGTAAGTCATTAAAGTCCCTTGCCTTAAGAACAAAGGAACAAGGTAAAAAATGCACACAATAATTATGCTCTGTGGATTTTCATAGCCTGTCAGACAACTTGTGCCTGTGTTTCAGTTAACAGCCTTTGTGCTTTGTTTTGTGTTGTGTATTTTATATATGAGTCTTGAGTTTCTCCATGTGTGTGTATGTGTGTGTGTGTGTGTATTCAATGTACGTGTATGCGTGCAGGCTGCTGTACCAACACGGAGCAAATACCATACAGATAAATACACAAGCATAGCTCAAACATGCATTTTCCGTACTCGGTGTGGTGGTGCGGGTGTATTGCCATTGTTCTCTTGCAGTGCTCCTTCTGACGCAAGCAGCTTCTGTATTTTTATTTTATTTTTAATTAAGAAGTCTAAAATAAAAATAAAAGGAAAAAAAAATTACTTAGTCCGGTTAAATACCGATTGAAGTCCAGAAACTCACGATTTCAGCACAGTGAATGGTTATTCAGACCCTGGCAGTGTTTTGGCTATGAGACAATTCCTACTTATAAAGAGCACAATGAGTGGGGGGAAAAAAAAAATAGCATTAATTTTGAGGAAGATTAATATTAGTCTTTTTAATTTTCATTATTTTCTGAAGAAATGAATCCTCGTAGCTTTTGAGAGCTAGTGTGTCCTTCCCACTGGTATTTATTCGAGCAAAGGAAAAAAATGAAGAAGGCGTAGAATAAACTCCTAAGACTGTTCAAGAATTACTGGCATTATTTCTCTCTACATCACGTGTGAGCCTGGGTTGCCTGCTATTCCTGAGGCAGAGGATCGAGGATGAAAGTCTGTGTGTCAGAGCCTGTTTTCACAACTGCATTTGGAGATCTGTCTTATTGATTAGGAAAAAAAGGGGGTGGGAATAGGAGTGTGAGGTGAGGGGAGGACCGACTGACTACTGGCTTATTGCAGCTCAAGACATTTTCTTCCGGAAAGATGTCAAACAACTGAGACACAGCAACAGAGGAAGTAGAAAGGTGGAAAAATAAGAAGAGGGACCCTTTGGAAGAAATGAAGGCATTCCTTATGAGAGCCTTGAGGCTTTTTTTTTTTCTTCTAACATCTGACCCACAAGGGCTAGAGTGACAGCGTCATGCAAATGCTGCAGTCCAGCAGGTCTGAGAGAGGGTGGATGCTAGAGAGTGAGTTAATGTTAATGATGAGTGCAGTGAAAATACCAGCCGATACCACCCCCTCCACACACAACTGCTCTGAGTCAGCATCCGCTGCTTTGCCTTGCCTTTTTGTGCGCGCGTGTGTGTGTGCGCGCGCGCATGTGTATGTGTGTGTGTGTGTGTGCGTGTGTGTGCTAGTGACTGTGTGTGTGTGCATGGAAGGTAAAGCCAGTCAGTCAGTGAGAAGCAAAGGTACGTTTGAGAGCAACTAAAATCTGACTGATTTCCATCTTCAGAGCATCAGATGTATTCCCTAAAGAGGATGGGTCTATGCGATGGGGGTGGTATAATTATGTTAATGTCATATTTATAGAGGGGAGAGATTTTTCATTCTAATTATTGATTTGAAAGCTGTGGTCAAAATTGTTTGTTAAATCATGATCAGCTTTTAAAAAAGAAATTGAATGAAATCTAGGGACTGCTATACATATATATCTCTCATATATATAGATTTTGTTTCGTTTAACTATTTTGTGTCTGAGGCATAACTGATTGAATGGTGCACAGTGACAAAGGAACGGCTCTTATGTAATGTTGCATTATATCATCAGCTGAAATATTATTTTGAATAATCCAAAATGTTCTGAAATCTGAAGTATCATTCTGGAGGGGAGGGTGAAGGGCAGGGGTGGGGGAGGGGGGCACTGGCAAATCTTTTCTTCAGCAGAGCGCTCTGTACAGCTTTCTTGTAAATGGATGATTCACCTGTTCGACCAGCAGAGATTCTAATTCTTCCCCCCCTCTTCTCTTTTTTTTCCTTTTTAAAGCTGAACGGCTTCCCGAAGAGCACTGAGTTTTCTATGCCAGATTCTGCTCCAGTGGCTGGGACCTTTATGGCTGCTGTTTCTTTTGCTCTGGGCTCTGATGGAGGGGAAAAAAAAAAAAAAAAAAAGCCACCGTGGATCCTCTCCCTAAAGCAGAAATTTTCTTTTTCATTCTGCAAACAAGGCTAAAGATCGGAGGAGAATGAATGCGAAAGTAATTTGGAATTGTGGTCGTGCCATTAAAAGTGTTCGGCTTCAGAATGAAATTATTCGGGAAATCCGAGCATTTCTTCCTACTGTATCGACAGTATTTGAAAGTTACGTGTGCTTTGAGTAATCTGGTTCAAGTGACAACAATCTCTGCATGTCAATGTTTTCTACAGCGTATGGAGCGAAAGCTAGTTTTGCCATTGGAAAGGAAGAAGCTTTTGCTAGCAGTCTGTAGAAGGATTAAATGTTGAACGTGGGGAAGAGGCAAAAAAGTGAATACACGCCCAAATGTTATCCTTGCATTGTGAATGGGTTTAAAGTACTCTGTAACCCAGGGCCCACCTGAACAGTAGGACTAAAAGTATAATGGGGAAATATTTCAATTAGCAACCCCTTAACAAGCATTTAATCCTTCTTTCAGGCATTAAGGGAAATAGAATAAAACTGTTACTGTACAAATCTGCTGGAAGCAGATTTTAACCCATTTTTAGATGCTTCCCTCTGATGCATTATAATATGGCCACTTGCAAGACGAGGCAGTGAAGATTTTTTTCCTCTGTTCTTTGTTTTTTCTTTTCAAAAGTTAAGGACTCTACTCTAAGA